CCCCAAAACCCCAAAACCCCAAAACCCCAAAACCCCAAAACCCCAGAAGAAGCTGACAGCATTGAAGAGCAACAATTAGCTAAAATATCCTTTAAACTAAAAAGATATTAACTTTCATGCCAAGATCCTTAAGATCTACACCTACTTGTCATTATCATAATATTGAGTTACTCTTTGTCCATCTTTAAGTATAACAGTGAACTCTCCATGCTCTTCCCCATCCTTCCATTGTCCTTCATATATCTCCCCAGTGTTCGGATCAATAAGGACTCCATAACCATTCTCCTCATTATTTTCCCAGTGTCCTTGATAAGTGCTTCCATCCTTAAAAGTGAATACTCCCTCTCCATGCCATAAACCATTCTGATATTGACCAACATACTTATTACCGCTGGGATGACATTCAACACCCTGTCCACTTTTCTTGTCATCTTCCCACTCTCCTTCATAGAATGACCCATCTTGTTTTTTGTAGATTCCTTGTCCATTCCTCCAATCATTTGCCCATTCTCCTTGGTAAGTTGCTCCGTTCTTCCAAGTGAATAATCCAGTACCATGCTTCTTCCCATTTACCCACTCTCCTTCGTACATATCTCCACTCTCAAAATACATAATCCCTTGACCTTCTGGTTTCCCATTTTTCCACTGTCCAATGTACTTTTTCCCACTCTTCCACAGATAAGTCCCTTGTCCATGTTGCTTCTCAGTGTAAGTGTTGACTTGTCCTTTGTAGGAGTCTCCATTGGAGTAAGTTTCTTCTTTATATACTAAGTCGACTTCTTCCGAATCTTGTTCGGTTTTCTTCTCTTCTTCCACGCTTGCCTTTTCTTCTTCAGTGATTTCAGGATTCTTGTCTTTCTCCATCTTAGTCTTCTCTAAAGCAGAAGTATCTCCTGAAGCAGATGCTTTTAGAGCCGAGCTTTCTTGTTGATCTTCAGCGTTTGGTTCAGATTGGCTGTGATCTTGGTCTTTGCCTAAATTTTGGTTAGACTCCATGGCCTCTTGGCTAGATGCATCTAATCTGATACTTAGAACAATGATTGTATATATGAGAAAGCTATTGTGCTAAAGCTAGGACCAATAGCTATGTTTTACGAAGCTGTATGGTCTCTATCAACACAAATAAACTTTTGCTTAAACAAAAGATGACATCTGAAGTTAACAAATTTTGATCAAAAAGTTAAAACAAACAAAATTTTGATAGGCAACACTTCAGCAAAAAGTTGTTTATTGTTAGATAAAACCTCCTAAAGCTCATATCCAAATGCGATAGGAGCAGGAATGTGTCGTGCTGATAGTAAGACTCAGCAGACTTGTTCTAAAGAGGCAATGAACAGTAAAAACCAAAGCAATTTTGATTAAGAAAAGGATACGGAAAGCCAAGTAGAAGTTCTCCATAGTGATAGATTAAAGCATCGATATCCGCACATAGGAAGCCTCCTTCCTCGTGGTTGAAATCACTAAAAGTGCTAATAATGGTACTACAGCTAAGGTGGATATCGACAGATGTAAAGTTAAGAAACAAAATGTTAGCACTAAAATTTTTGGATGATAAGATTTCCTATATTAGCAACTCTAATATTTTGCTTACTTTCAGCTTTAAGGACTCCCTTCTCTTGGTGTAGTTTCTTGTTTTCTTTTTCAAGAGTTTCAATTCTGAGTTCTTTTTGCTTAAGCTCCTCTTGAAGCTTATCCTCCTCACCAGAAGGCTGTCTTGCTTCACTAGCAGGGCTCTCTATGCTCATTTTTTCTCTATAATTTTTAGTAGCTGGAGATCGGGATTGAACAAAATATCTTGGCATTTCTTTATTTAAAGATGTACTCAAATTTCTCATGCAGCAAGATGCTATTGTTTTTAAATCAAATAGCTTTAGATAACAAAATAAGCAACTTCGAACTAGTAGGGATCATTGATGTGCTAATTTCGCATATCTAACCCCAGAGTCTCAAACTATAGAAGAGACATTCTTCAGAAGATGATAGTAAAGCTTACAATTTAGGCCCAACAAGTTTGCTGAATTCCCAAATGGCTTCGATATTTATAGTTGAAAATATCTTTACCAAGTTTACCAACATAGCCTCGCTTATTTAGGATAAGATACAGAAAAGAAGCCTTGCCAATGGTAACTATTAATAAGAACTTCCAAAAGATAAGGCCAGCCTAGTTAAAGCTGCACTAATCAATAAAGTTTGGGACACAAAACCCTTTTTGCAGCAAACATTTTATTTCAACTTGTTTATAGAGCTCATTGATAAAAACATCAGGATGAACATTTTCATTTAAAAAACTTCAAAAAGTTCATGAGAAATGGTGTTAAGATTTGATCATAAGCAAACTTGGTAAAATAGCACCTCTCTGTTACTATCAGGAATGAGATGACCAACTTTACATGTACTAATCACGCAAACTTACTTTTGTGCAGATCTCCATAATTTCTTGAAAGCGAAGCATGCAAATGTCTTCTTACTCTCCAGAGTCCTCTTGATATTTGTAGCTTTTGTGTTCAAAGTTGAAAACTCGTAATAAAGCCCGCCATTCAGAGCTTTGGTTAGCTTATCTTTAAGTCCTTCGACATCTCACAGTAGTTCATCTCATAGGTTCTTTGTGGCCTCATTAGTTTCATCTTCATATTTATCAGCAGCAAAATCTTTAAACTTCTTCAGCACATCTTCCACTATTTCAAGGTTCATAGCGACATCATCAGGAGAGACCAGTTTTTCTACTTCGTTCTCATCAAAATCTGGATCTAAGCAGTCTCCACAGAAGTAACTTTTCTCCTTCTCCACGTAAACAGAGGCTGTTTGGTGGCATGTTTCAGCAAAACACTCAGGAAATTTTGACATATTTAATAATTTTAAACAAGAATTTACACAGAGCTTATATCGTTTCAGTTGCTCTGATATTGTTTGGGGTTTTGGGGTTTTGGGGTTTTGGGGTTTTGGGGTTTTGGGG